CGAGAATTTTATTTTTTTCCATAACACTACACGAGATAGGCACAATACACTTAATTAATTAAGCTATAGAAGATATTACATATGAATAATATGATTGATATGGTTGGAAAGCTGTATGGCAAGAAAATTAGAAAAATGGCAAAATTAGAATTTAATTAAGCTATATTCACTAAGAATACAGTAACCAGATACACTATTTAGTATAAGGAGTGCACGCGAGACAACGAAAAAAAGTAAATATTAGCTACACTAAGGGGAATTGTAAAGGTGGCATTATTTTATTATTTTTTGGACACAGAAAAAGAAATGGAGTACAATGCCTAATGTTACTAAGGAAATGGTAAATTGTAAAAATGGTAAAAAAAAATATCCTCAACTGAAGTTATTTAGATATGCACTTAAGAATATAATAGTATAAAATAATAGTGTCTAATAACATAGGAACAAATATGATAACACATTAACGAGACACATTATATAATGAAATATAATTTAGCCCTTATAGTTTCTATTTTTTTTTCCTCTTCATTAATATTAACACAGAGGAGAAGCTCTGGTTATGCTAGAAATTACAGAAACAAGTTCTCTTCCCCTCCCTATTGACGAGACATATTATATAAAGTGCAGTAATTTATTCCTTATAGTTTTTATTTAATTTTTCCCCTTCATTAAGACTAATATTAAGGAGATCCTCTGGCGTGCTAGAAATTATAGTAACAAGTAATCTCTCCCCCCCTTTCCGGTATCTCCACTCAGGGAGGCGTATTAGGATAACTCAATACAGGATGATGAAGATTTCTGTATTGATTGTGTATGAATGTAGTATGACAGTTGAGAATTCTCAAAAGCCCAGGAAAAGATATCTGGGCTGACGAGTAAGGAATGGAATTGATCAGGAGGATGAGGGGGAACGGTTAGCTATGGGTGACTTGCAGGGGTCAAGTTGGAGGCAAGGGAAGGTTAATCTCAAACTTCTAATTGTTTATTAATGTCTTTGGAATTTCATCAATTACCACCAAAGGCCTTAATTCTCTACAAAAGAAAGGATGATTATATAATATATTAAGAGATAAAAATGCAGATGTAGTATTTATACAGAAATCGCACTGGTCAAAAGACCCTACTAAACTTTGGAAGTTCCCAAGATTCCCCTTATTTTTCTTTTCAAATTTTGAAGGGGGGAAAAAACAAAGAGGTGTTGCTCTAATGTTTTCTAGTAGAATAAAAATTGATCTGATATTTCAGGATAAGGATATTAATGGGCAGTATCAAATCATAATAGTGAAAATCAATGACATCCTGTACACCTTAATAAACGTTTATGCCTCAAACTACTCTCCAGTTAAATTTATAAGCAACTTAATTGCTAAGACCAATATCTGGTAATGGATATTGTAATAATAGGAGGAGACTTTAATTGTGTTCCTAATCCAAATTTAGACAGAAGTCACATTAAAAAATCTACCTCTTCAACAGACACATAGTCTTCAAAATTTCAAAATGTATTATGGCAGAATGCATTGTACAACTGCTGGAGAGTTTTAAATCCATCTAATAGAGATTACACTTTTTATTCTATTACACATCAATCATACCCACAATTAGATTTATTTTTGACTAGGAATAATACTTTACCTTTGATCAAGAGTATTAATAGAAGACCAATAACATGGTCAGACCATGCTCCTTTGATGATGGTCATTAAAAATAATGTTCAATACAAATCTAGATTTAGATGGAGATTAAACGATAACATGTTAAAGTCAGAAAAAAATCTAGACTCATTAAAGCAAGAAGCCCACAGGACCTACCAAATAAATAATAAGGGGGAAGTGGGGGTCTCAGATGTGACCCTCTGATGTGACCCTTCTTTTAAGTGCATTATGAGTGGATTATGTATTAAATTAGGTTCTCTTAACAAAAATAAACACAGTGCAAATTTTCAGCAACTATATGTAAGGTTGATGGAAACCGAAAGACAGCATAAGAACAGCCCAGATGACAATTTATTAAATGAATTAAAGCTAATTAGACAACAAATAAATGATAAAACAATCAAAAGTATTAATAAAAATATACAATGAATAAAACAGCAGTGGTACTATAGCAACAACAGAACTGGGAAATCTTTAACAAATAAACTAAAACATAAATGTAAGACTGAAATAATAAAAAAAATAGTTGAAGGGGATCGAATTTATCAGTCTCCATCAAGCATAGCAAAGGCATTTAGTGACTTCTATTCTAAACTAGATAATCTAACTACTAATAAACAATCTAACCATCAAATCAAATCCTTTCTTTCAAAAATCTAAATTCCAAAGATAAATAAGACCCAGTTAGATTGTTTGAACAGTCCAATCTCATTAAATGATATTAAAGAGGTAATAGATAATTTGAAACCCAAAAACTTGAAAGCTCCAGGGCCAGATGACTTTATGTCTATTTTCTATAAAAAATTCCAGGTATAAGTGGCCCCGTTGTTACTGAGGTTTTTTTTCTATTCTTCCAAAGCAGGTAAAGTTCCTGGAAGAATACCTCCTGGCTTCCATCCTTCCTATTCCAAAAGAAGGCAATGATTCCACCAAAACTGCTAGTTATAGACCTATCTGCTTGATAAACCTAGATGTTAAGATCTACTTGAAGATTTTATCATATAGATTAAAATAAATAATACTATATTTAATTCATGGCGATCAGGCGGGGTTCGTTAAGCATAGAGGTGAAGCGGATATCATCCGCAGAGTCCTTAACCTAATCCATAGAATTAACTCTAAAAAACACAAGGCAGCTTTTTTTGGCACTGGATGCCGAAAAGGCTTTTGATTGACTCAACTGGCAATTTTTTGGATTTGGTTTTACAACAATTTGCACTTATTGGTAATTTTAGAGATAGTATTATGATATTATACACAAACCCATCAGCAAGGGTTATTGGTCCAGCCACTGAGTCAAAATACTTTAACATCAAAAACGGCACAAGACAGGGTTGCCCTTTGCCTCCATTTTTATATATCCTGGCTATGGAGCCTCTAGCTGCTCTTATCCAACAAAAGGAGGAAGGCCAGGGTATTAGGGTTGATCATACCTGTAACGGCACCCCCAGGCATAAAAGGGTTAAACCGCCGTTTAGTAGATCTTCCCTTCCAGATATACAGGCAGCTACTGCAGAACATCAAACTCCCGAACTGGATACAAGGGAATGCTCCAAACTCCCGAACTGCCTACAAAATAGCACTCCATACTCCTGAACTGGAACCTCACAAATAGCTGTAGCAGACGAACAGGAAAAGCACCCAAGCAGCTTACACTCCTGGCAATCAGTTTCTAATAGCATACAGTAAATCCCCCCAAAGACGAGACAAAGCTCCATGTTGAAGGTCAAGCTGTGATCTGGTTTATTACCTTCCCAGTATTTATGCAGGTCTCTCACCTGGTGGACACTCCCCTAGGGGACCAAATGGGAGACTGTGGCAAGGGACAGACATGCACCAATGACAGACACACAGAAGTAAAACATCCCCACAATGCATTCTAATTCCCTCCCCTCTATCCTGGAGATAATTGGGAAGTAATCCAATTATCTCCCAGGACAGAGGCAAATAGCCATTACACACATGGTTTCAATAAAACACTAAAATACAATAACATTTTTAAAATGTTACATTTATCACATAAAATATATACATGTAACCCATCCCCAGATAGCTGGGATCTGAGCGCACAATTGTACCGAATAGCGCTCAGATCCTATACACACAGTTCAATTGCCATGGAGCCAAAGTCTTTAATTACACGAATAGGCTCCATGGCTGTGCTATCTGGGTTAAAGCATTCACATAAAACAAAGTCCCAAATGATCAGGTGTTCGGTTAAATAGCCACGAATAGAAGCAGGGAAGGCTGGAGGCTCAGCGCTGCCTCCACGTAAAAGTGTCCACTTTTAGTGCACTGATTCCGGGCTTCAGGGAGGTAGATTGGCGGCGCACACCAGCTTCTGGGAGGCCAATTAACAGCGCCTGCTGGCTCCCCACTGCTCCTGGGAGGCTAATGGCTGTTTGTTCGGTAGATAGCATCTACCGAACGGCTGTGCAGAAAGACATGAATGAGCCTTTCTGCACAGTAAAATAGACTGTTTAACTGCCGGTCCATAGTCACAAGGGAGTAGGCAGGCAACCCTGCTCCTCCAATGTACCGTGGCGAGATTGGTCTCGTCACAATACCGAACATAAGATAATTTAATTCGCAGATGATTCCCTCCTGACTTTAATGAACCCCTTAAAGACTATCCCGGCTGTAATGAAAGTTATCTCTGAGTACGGAGAATTTTCAATCCTTAACTTAAATCAAACAGTCCTACTTTTCCTCTCTCATTAGTTCATGCTCCCGCAATCCCAGGCGTCTCTTTGACACCTTTAATTCTCTTCTTCACCCTGCTGTGGCCACCCCCAAACTAACCTTACTGCCGATAGCTTTGCATGTTACTTTACTGACAAAATTGAACAGCTAAGGAAAGAATTCTCCCCTCCTTGCCATTCTCTTTCTCAACCACACATAGATCATGCCTTTCCTACCCTTCAGACGTTCTCCCCGGCTACTGACCAAGAGGTAGCTGCTCTTCTCTTTTCCTCTCGCCCCACCACTTGCCCGCTCAATCCTGTCCCATCTCAACTTATTAGATCTCTCTCCATTTGTCTCGTGCCTTCCTGAACACACATCTTCAACTGCTCTCTCTCTCTTCTGGCATTGTCCCTGCTGACCTTAAACATGCCACTGTAGTACCTATCGTGAAAAAACATCTCTTGACCCGTCCTCCCCCTCTAACTTTTTTATCAAAGCTCCTGGAAAGGCTTGTCTTTATCCGTGTGTTATTTCCTCAATTCCAACTCTCTCCTTGACCCTCTTCAATCTGGCTTCCGCCCTCATCACTCTACTGAGACTGCGCTTATGAAAGTTACTAACTTCCTAATCGCAGCTAAATCCAAAGGCCACTACTCCATACTAATTCTTCTTGACCTCTCTGCTGCCTTTGACACCGTTGATCATGCTCTCCTTCTTCAAACTCTTCAATCACTCGGTCTCTGTGACTCTGTCCTCTCGTGGTTTTCCTCTTATCTTTCCCAACACTCATTCAGTGTCTCCTTTTCTAATGATACCTTCTCCCTCATCCTGTCTCGGTTGGAGTCCCCCAAGGCTCTGTACTTGGTCCCCTTCTATTTTCTCTTTATACTGCCTCTCTTGGCAAACTTATTACCTCTTTTGGATTCCACTACCACCTGTACGCTGATGACACACATATATATCTCTCCTCCCCAGACCTCTCCCCTGCTGTCCTGCAACATGTCACAGCTTGCCTTTCTTCCACCTCTGACTGGATGTCCTCCCACTTTCTGAAACTCAATCTCTCTAAAACTGAGCTCCTTGTCTTTCCTCCTCCTAATACTGATCCTCCTCTTTCACACTCCTTTCAAGTTTGTGGTTCCCACATAAGTCCATCCTTGCAAGCACGCTGTCTTGGCGTCATACTTGATTCTGGCATCACCTTTGAGCCTCACATCCAGTATGTTGCCAAATCCTGTAGCTTCCATCTTAAAAACATATTCCGCATCCGCCCCTTTCTTACGCAAGATGCTACCAAGGAGCTTGTCCATGCTCTAGTAATTTCCCGCATGGATTACTGTAACCCTCTCCTGATTGGTCTTCCCAAAAGCCGTACTGCACCGTTACAGTTTGTAATGAACGCTGCTGCCAGACTGATTTTCCTCTCTAGTCGGTTCTCTCACACCTCACCCCTCTGTCAGGCCTTACATTGGCTTCCGGTATGCTATAGGAGTCAATTCAAGGTACTAATTCACACCTATAAAGCAGTGAATAACTCTAGCCCCTCTTATATCGCTTTACAGATCTATAGATATGTCCCTTCTCGGTCTCTCTGCTCTGCCCGTGACCACCTCCTGTCCATTGTCCGCACCCGTACGGCCAACTCACGCTTGCAGAACTTCTCACGGGCAGCTCTTTTCCTATGGAATAGCCTGTTTACCTCCATCAGACTCTCCCCTAGTCTTGCATCTTTTAAGAAGTGCCTTAAAACCCAGGAAAGCTTATGGCCTCACAGACTAACCTCTACCTCACATACCTGTCTCTTGCTCTCTCCTAAAGGGCAGCTCACCTTTTTTGACTGCAAATTCCTCTCCTATTGTGTTTTACACCCCACCTCCTATAGAATGTAAGCTCGTTTGAGCAGGGTCCTCTCAAACCTATCGGTTTTGTTGTAATTGTCCTATTTATAGTTAAATCCCCCCTCTCATAATATTGTAAAGCGCTACGGAATCTGTTGGCATTATATAAATGGAAATGATAATAATAATAATAATAATAATAATAATAATAATACTAAGACCCAGATCTTGACATTCGTTTTATCCTCAGTAGATAGGGCCCATCTTAAAGCTAGATCCAAGTTTAACTGGGAGATGAAATCAATAGAATATCTAGGTTCCCTTGATAGATAGTTACACTCAATCATTTTAAGTCTATGGGAAAAAATTAAGATTTCTCTTATAAAGTGGAATAAAATTGGATTATCTTGAATAGGGAGAATGCAATTTATTATTGCCAAAGCTGTCTTATCTGTTTAGAATATTCCCAATAAGAGTCAGTAATAAAATATTGAGCTCTTTCCATTCCATTATTTCAAAATGTATTTGGTCATACAAAAAAACCTAGAATCTCATACAGATTTCTTAAAAAATGAAGAAGGAATGGTGGCTTGGGATTCCCAGATATCTTTGCAATACATGAAGCCTGCATGTTAGCCCATTTTCAGCTTGGGATACAAGCAACAATAGCAACAATTTATGGAAGGAAATGGAAGCTCAAGAGTTTAAGAATGTTCTACTTTATGATAGTTTTTGGATAGAGTGGAAATGCCCTCTCAAGAAAATTACTTTTAACCCAATTATAAGAATATTAACTGATCAAATCAATGTTATAGCAGTATCAGTTCCTATAGAAATATTAGAAATAAATGTGAGAGATATGGATTTGAAGAGATGGAAGAGCTGTGGGATCAACAAGGTATCAAACATCTATCTTAATGGTAAAGTCATGTGATTCCACCAATTCCAATGTAATTATTCATTGGATCCTAGCAAAGTTTTTACATACCTGAGAGTTAAGAACTATCTAACCACAAAATAAGTAATATAACAGAATGAGACTACTGTGTTCTTAGGAAATCATAATCCCCTTAAAAGAATATCATGATCACACACATTTTTATCTCTGAAACTTTTGATAAAGAGCATCGAATGAGGAAATGGGAACTTGATTTTAAAAAATAATTTGAAATAACATCTTGAAAACAGAGCATAAATAGGCTAAATCAATGTACCCATTGTGTTAGCTTGGTAGAGCTCTTTTATAAGATTCTATATAGGTCATATTTGGTTCCATCAAGATTAAACAAAGCATATGATGACCAAAATGATCAATGCTGGAGATGTAAAAATGCTAAAGGATCCCATTTTCATATTTGGTGGGAATGCGAAGGGTTAAAAGTATTATAAAAGAACATTAAATATATTTTAATGGAACTTAAAGGGAAGGATTTCTCTCTGACTCCACAGTTCTTGCTTTTTCATTTAGATCCTCCTCAATGGGATAAACCCTTCTCCTTTCTGACAAACCATATTATGCTAGCAGCGAATATTTGTATTGCAAGGAATTGGAAAAAGCCAGAGCCCCTGAATTGGTGCAAAATATTGAATCATACAAATTACCAGTACATTATGAAGAGGGGATTTTACCTAAAGAATAATCAGTTGAACTTATACGTCTAAAATCTGGGAAAATGGGAAACATATAATGATACACAACTTGGGTAGTTATAACTGTTGACCGTTAAGGAATGTTTAATTATTAAAGAATACCAGAGAGGATAGTAGACAGTGGAAACTACCCTAACCTCCCCTTGCATCAGAATGAATGAGTATTGTATATGACTGTTTAGCTGGATTTAAGTAGTGATTAGATAAATCTATATTCGAATAAATTAAAGATAAAAAAAAAAATAATTAGAAAGAGGAATAGAAATTAAAACTTTTAGTAAATTTGGAATGACACATTAAGCAACTGAGAAATAAATGATAAAATAGGTATGTTTGATACAAGTTTACCTCATACCAATCTGATATATTTAAAAAACAAAATACTCAATAGGGAAAAATACTAAATTAAAAATCTATGATAATAATGTTGGATATGTTTTTTTATTCACTGTTTTGAGCAGTCAATGCAGCCAGGTATATAATAATGTTTCTTGATTTTTTCACAATACTTATTACATCTGTTGATCTACAGTTTGCCATTTTAGGGTTATTAGTGGATGCTTGGCAGTCACACCTGGGGTAAAATAATTTATTGAAATAAAATACATAATACATACATAAACAATCAAACAAACAGCTCTGTTTCCCTTGGCAAGAAATAAGAACAAAATAGATTTTGCTGCTTTTCTCCCATGGTATTTTTACATGATGCATATACACTTCAGTAATAAATAAAAACAGAATTAGGCATGCACACATACATCAGAAAAACACTAACACGTGAAAGTGTCTATTTTTTTTCTATCCCTTTAACACTACAATTGTACTTAAAATTGTAAGGGGAAGAAAATGTGATCATTTACTTCAGATGTATTTATGTTTTAACCTCGCACTAAAAAAAAAAAAAGCATACAATGCACTTAAATTACATTATAGATCATTACAATATGTACTTTTAATTTTACTAGTTATATTGTATAATTCAGGGTAATGCACTAAGCATACAGAATGTATAATAAGGGAAAATTTCTTTTTTTCTGATATTCACTCACATGTAATGTTAAAGTGTCTCTGTCACTTCTTACTATGATAGGGTGAAGGATGAAGAATTTGCAGGTTGAAGAATTTCAGTTCTTCCAAAACAATTTGGCAGAAATATTTTTTTCTTAGGCTGACATAATTTTTGGTACAATAAATATTTGAAAGGTCATTCAGACAGCAGACAAAAAGACTATAGGGTTATTCACTAAACAGTTAAAAAAATGTTCAACAAATGAGCTTTCCAAAACTGAGGGTTTCCCCTCCCCAATAGGTGCCAAATTTTGATTGGTGGTAACCCTGACAAACTGACTTTTTAGGCTGTAAAATAAGTGTCAAATTTCTTTCTTTTTTTTTATTATTATGTAGGGATCACTTAATAGGTGTTTTTTTTTTCTTCTATACCGCCTCCTCATCATAGCTCTCAGCACTCTTCTCTCCTTAGTGTGCATTACCATCAGTACAGTCAATCACATGCCGCTTGGCCACTTTATAAGGTAAAAGATATCATGTAAATGCAATTGCTGAAAAGTAATGACAGAATGCCTCTCCCTATCACTGGACTCCCATTATAAGAAATAGTGTAGTGCCAGCTAATGCACCATCAGCCTATCATAAGCTGCCCTGCTAAAACTTCCTCATACACTATATGGTAAAAAGTATTGAAACACAACTCTTAATTATTGAATTGAGGTGTTTCAATCAGACCTACTGCCACAAGTGTATAATATCAAGTACCCAGCCATGCTGTCTGTATTTACAAACATTTATAAAAAAAAATAATCATTCTGAAGAACTAAGTTGATTCAAGTGTGGTACTCTGACAATAAGTCACTTTGTGACATTTTATACCTGCTAGATATGCCAGGTAAACTGTAAGTGGTATAATTGGAAATGGGAAGCATTTAGGAACAGCAGGGAAGCAGAATACCACTTAAATTCACAGGGCAGGGTCACTGAGTGCTGAAGTACATTGTAGCGGATGGCACTGGGCTGTCCTGGGAATTGTATTAGCTTTGACTGCATTCGTGTAAATGGTAAAGTTATATGTGTTAAATGTATTGTGTTCGTCTGATTGTTCGGTAGTTTCATTCCCTTAGTTTGTTTGAATGAATCTACCGAACAGTCGGACCTCCCCTGTGAGAAGTGTGCCTTCAATTACCCGTTGCAACATTGTTGCAAACGGGTAATTGACAAGCTGAGTAGCAGTCCTTTGTTCTCAGGGGTGGCCGCCATTCGGGAAACGAACACTTGGCGGCGGCCATTTTAAAACTCCCGAACAGCGGTGTTTTGCCGTCGAGTGCCTGGAATTCAAATCGGACACTCGACTAGGTGAAC